ATATTATAGAAATAGGAACTTCAAGTCCAGATATTCCTCCAATTGGTAATACACTGATATTATAGAAATAGGAACTTCAAGTCCAGATATTCCTCCAATTGGTAATACACTGATACTAGGTTACAACTGCAACATATCTAATGAAAAATTAACACTAGCAGCTATCCAATATATGTCTTACTGAAACATATCACAAGATTCCTTGCAGTTTGTGTTATAAATAAAGTATACATACAACTCCATCACAGCTCACCTACAAACTTCGAAATACTCAACATTTTATGGAAAACTAAAAGTTAGTTCTGTCACTATGAAAAATCTAATAGATGTACTTCCACAGGGTCCCCCGGAAATGTTCGGTTTCCAGGGTAAATAAAACCAAAATTAAGAGTAATATATTTTTATTTCTTGCTTTTGAAGTTCATATGTCATGTTGTAACCTACAGAGTACATAATTCTTCCCGTGATTCATGGCATGTGCACGTTTTACTGACGTCACGACAGTATAAATTGCAATGTTAAGCATTCCTTATGTGACATCAGTTTAGTGTCTACTGGCTGACTAACAGACAATACACTACTGTATAGTGGTGGAAGTGATTAAAACAGGTGACCCAGGCAACCTTTTACTCCCTTTCTGTATAATTTTTCTCTGTAGCACACCTGTCTATACAACATGTCTTGAGATGATTAAAGAACGAACACTTGTAATGCCGGTCCTTTCTACACCTACGTGATACTTCATTTAATTCCTCCATGACAGAGACAGGTAAGAGTGGTGGCAACTTTTTGGAAAAGAAGTCTTTCAGGGCAGTAGCAACAGCGTTAACTGGAATATCAAGATCTCTGATGGACACATCTGAATCTGGAAAAATGGAAAAAAAAGTGTTTTTCAACACAATTGTGGCTTCTTAACTTCATGTGCATTAAACATCTGTCACTATCATTATAAGAACTTTCAACACAAAGTAAAGGGGAGTGTATAATAACATAAACTATGCATGTGTAACTTACAAGTATTATTACGTATGATGGTAACATATCAACTATACAGGTGTAACTTACAAGTATCATTACGTACGATGGTAACATGTCAACTATACAGGTCCAACTTACAAGTTTTATTACCAATGATGGTAACATGTCAACTATACAGGTGTAACTTACAAGTTTTATTATGTACAATGGTAACATATCAACTATACAGGTCCAACTTACAAGTTTTATTACCAATGATGGTAACAGGTCCAACTTACAAGTATCATTACGTATGATGGTAACATATCAACTATACAGGTGTAACTTACAAGTATCATTACGTACGATGGTAACATGTCAACTATACAGGTCCAACTTACAAGTTTTATTACGTATGATGGTAACATGTCAACTATACATAAAACTTGTAAGTTACACCTTATGTATGATGGTAACATGTCAACTATACAGGTGTAACTTACAAGTATTACCAATGATGGTAACATGTCAACTATACAGGTGTAACTTACAAGTTTTATTACCAATGATGGTAACATGTCAACTATACAGGTGTAACTTACAAGTTTTATTACCAATGA